AATAAACTAAACCAAACCAAACTAATCATACAAATACTGTGTTCGACAAGGTGTTAAAAGAATTTTTTCTCCGTTTGATGTATCTTTAGAATACTTAGTTTTAAGCATATTTTATCTGCAGGGATTCTTTGATTCTTATATTTTTCTTTTATGTGTAAAGAGTCTCTTTGAGGGAGATGAATTCTTTGGTAGCAGAAATGGGTTTGATGGCACATTTGCTTGGAAGCGGATATTGAACATAATCGCATTTCGTATCACGTCTTTGACATTTGATTTAATGTTGTAACCATGCAAAACTTTAATTAAGAATACGTTTTCTAATAATATTTCAAGATAAAGTGATATATCGGTGTTATGCACAATTATTCTGTAAATTCGGAAAGAAACAGAATAATTCAGTTGACAAACTAGTAAAGGAAATTCGTGAAATTGACTTTGCACTGAATGTGAAACGTGATTGAAAAAAGTTGCTTTTAACAGCAGCATGAAAGGGGATATTCAGAAGACACTTACGACATCCACCCATTAAGTCCACGCAGAGATTTAAGTCAGGCAATTTATTGTCTTTCGTTAGCAAGATTGGTTGCAGGAAAACGGTGCGATGTATCAGATAAGATATTACACACTAAATAGTATGTTAAGGTATTTATTTATTTCATAAGAGTATCTAAATACCTACTTCGGAAATTACCGACTGAAACTACTTTTTATGGTGAAATTTAAAACGGTTTGTGTATATAAACAATTAACACATTTTAGAAGAGCTCTGAATGAACATCACTGCTTTCATACAGAATGTGGGTAAAGAAAAGCTTTGTTAAATTACTAAGAACTGGATGAAATATGTAGAAACATGTTTTAAAGTAAAGGAATGTCATTTTCAATGTACGTGTCAAATGTCTCATAAGCATGCAATATGTGTCTCATAAGCATGCAATATACTTCTATGATAAAAATCCACCTTTATGCCTTGTAAACACACCATATGTATACAGTTTAAATACATATATAATGTGGTCATATAAATCATCATGCTACGTATATTTTTGTAATCATTGGTCTAGGCACGTATTACCTGTTTGAAAAATATTTGCAAATGGCGCAATTAATCATATTTTGCACATCTAAACTTAAAAAAACAGTTTTGGCAAAATTACGAAATTTAACATTTTATACCGTCCACCGGTTCCTATACTTCTATTCAATAAAGGTTTATGCTTATGTTTAGGGAAGATTATTTAGTAAAGAAATACGAATAAGAAAATCGTTTAAAACCCGCCCCCTCCGCCAAAAAAGGAGAAATAAAAAAAGGAAAAACAAGAAAAAAAGGAAAGAAAGCATAAAATATTTGATTTCCGATTTGATATAATTTGAGCAAGAAATTCAATTTCAATTTTTTTTTCTTTTGCCCCTTTTTCCGGCTTCCCTTAGAGGGTTAGATAAAAAAAAATAAATTAGAGTGCTTCAACCGTTATTTTGTTTTCCATTTAATGTCATTCAGTAATTTTTCTTTGTAATTGTGCTAATGTGTAACTTTCTTATAATTTTGTTACATTTCGGAAGCCGAAAATGTTTTCCCACCACAAGTAGTTTATCAGTTTTAAAATTCTAAAAACGCGTCAATAATATTCACTTGGAATTTTATTACTTGGAATATAATATTCACTTGGAATTTTATTACTTGGAATATAATATTCACTTGGAATTTTATTACTTTAAAACTCTAATCTAATAGTCAAATGAGAAAATGTTTAGATTAGAAATATTATTCACTCTTAATTTATGCAGATGAGATTATAAATTGACTTATATTCCAAGACTGTAACCTGTCAGTATTTTTGTAAACCTGGAGTTTCTGAATAAGATATTACTGTTAGAAAAATTGTATGTCTTGATCAAAACATTTCACGACGGTCTGCATAGCAATATCTGTCACTTAATCTTTTAAACTCAACCTTTTTCTAAACAGATATTTGCTTTCTGGTTAAATACTGATTTAAATATTTCATTCTTCAATGTGTGTGCGACTTTTTTTAACTTGATCCCAAAAATTAAAATTAAATATTTCTGTTCATTTTTGTGGGAGCCAAAATTGTTTATGTTTAATTATTAGAATGAGTATATCGGAAAACCACTGAATGGAATAGTGATGTCTGACTAAAGTGTGGTTGTGGACAAAAGTTTCTCATAACGTGGATTTACCCTACTGGTTCTTTTACTTCTCTACTCATTCGCCCTTTAAGGTGAGGGGAAAATATAAGGAATTATCGCCTTTCTCAGCTCGTGCTGTTGTGACATATCATATAGAATGCCCGACTGGTAATTGAAAGATATGGGTGAAAATCTGCCCCGTTTACAGAACATATCACATCTCACAGTCTTTTACTATCACTGTTGGTTTTGGCTACCTGCTTCTGAGATAATAATCGAATCTTCTCGCCCATAACCCACATGACCCAAAGGCAACTACTTAAATTCATTTGACCTTTTCATGACATTCACATCACATGCAGTTTTCAACATTTCTAGCATTACCATGACCTCATTTTCTTATTTTCACAGATGACATGTTATTATAATCTGTTACTACTTTAAAATAGAAGCATTACGTTTATAGCGACACTTTCCTCATTTTTGATCCTGTCATGTGTCATCATAACCGCACACGTTACGATCGTAAATGACGGCAAAGTAAAAGATTTTAGCAATTTAAAGGACCCGCTTGTCTTCCACAACTGTAGTTACGGTGGTTACCAAGCAAACCAAATGGTAGGAATGTTCTTGGAATGCCTATACTAAAGTGAAATAAAGTCTTTAAATATCGTTAGGTTATTTTCATGCCGAAGTGAGTCTAAAACTAAGGCCTCGATCAAGATGAAATTCACACATATTTACTATATTAAAATATGTTGCCTGTACAGATATATGTTAGTTACGTTTGATTTTATTAATTACTAGCGGAAGTACCAAATAGCAGTTAAGTTAGATTTAGAGTAAAGTATTTAACAACAAAACGAACGATACCGCTGTAATCTTTCTCTAATAACGATGCAAAATATAAAATTCATAGTCATACATTTTTCAGTCTGATGCGATATGGAACCCACATAAAAACTTCCGATAGAAAAATAAGCTAATTCTCTGTCATCATATCAGCAACAATGGCTCGCAGTTTTTAATGACTTTCGTCTTTCTAATCAAATGGTCAAGTTAAATCCAAGCTCAAGTTAAATCCAATATTTCACCTAAATTCATTTTAGTCGATTAAATGTGTCAAAAAATTTATCATAGTTAATCAAAAATCAATAACGCGAACAAACAAACACACAAACAGACATTCTTCATTATATATATAGATTTTGTAAAACTTACAAATTTTTGATTAACAAACTCTACGATTTGAAAGCGAGTAGTAGCAACACTTTATGAAATAAAGCATTTTTATCTCCAACGCGCGACACTGTTGCCACACTGAAAAATGAGTGCGAAAATTAGCGCTTTCAGAGTTTTTTATTAATATTTCGGCTGATTAGAGTCGTAGGAAGATGGAAATAACCGAAATGGCTTCCCACGAATTTTTTTAAGCGGGAATAGTGTATTTTTGTCGATGCTATTTTTTACTTTGAAATTTTTATTAACATATTCTAGGATTTGAAAGCGAGCAGTCGCAACAACATTTGACATAAAGGAGACTTTCATCTCCAGCTTGCGAGGCTGTTGCCAAACCGAAAACTGAGGAAGAAAATAATCGTTTTTCAGAATTTTTAATTATTATCTCTGATTTTAGCAATTTTGGGGGGCAAAAGAGGACATCGACCTTTTCCAGAACCCCGAAAAGAATTGTAGAAAGTTTGGCGACGAAAGCTATAGTAGTAACTGAGTTATTAGAGGACAAACAAACATACATTTTAATTTATATATAGTATATATAGATGAACGTGACTGGTATTTTTAAACGCAAGTTTAATATGGTGATAAAAACCAAAACTCGTAGTTGATGTTTAACTACAAGTATTTGTATGAACTGAATGGTCATTAAAAAACTTCTTAAAGAATACAACTTCATCAAATGGCAGTTAATATGAGCACCCCTTTTGAAGCATGAACAAAGAAGACGTGTGTGCATTCGTATAATTTTCGGGCACTGAAAGTCCCGAATCAGCAAACAGACATCAGAAAATTATTAAGCCGTACCGGAGTATTCTGTGTATTACTTTAGCAGGATTATAAGTAGACCCATAAAGGCAAAATTCTAAATAGTTCAGTGTATGCAGTGAGATACAAGAGGACTGTGACTGTGGAATGAGTCAGAAATGTTTCCTTGCGAAATCCCTGTATTATGAAGACGCAGAGACATTTTTATACGATGGGCTAAAGACAGATGTAGTACTTTAAATCCACTTATTTATTATATGTTATCAATAAATATATCAAAAGTACTAATAAAATATATCAAAAGTACTTAATATTTTTTCTAATAATAAGCCGATTATAGTGACCATATAGTTATTAAATTTTACTTTTGTGTTTTGGTAGCAATACACATTACTCGTTATTCCTAAGACTCTCCATATGGTTTTTAATATATTGTAAATACTTTTTTCTAGAATCTTTCTCTTCCTTTGCCTTTTCTATTCTATCAATATTTACAATAAAAAGAGAAACTATGAAATATCTAAAAAAAATTACGTGCAACATTTTCACTTTCACCCTTTTTTTAAACATAGTCATGATAATATTTTCTTTTCTTTAATAAACTTTTATCTGAATCAATAGTTTTTATACTTGAATTTGATTATTTATGTTTGCCTTTTTCTTTGCCTCTGAAAGCGAACCCCTAAATAATAATTCTCAGTTATGTTGTTACTGAATTTTAAAAAAAAACTGGAAGATATATTTTTTCTCTCATGGAAAGAATTTAAAAATCAGCATATCATAAAAAATTTATATATTGTTTTTGCTTAAACATGTTTAAGTAACTTTCATTCTTTCTATTTCAGCGGTTGGACCAAAACCAGGATGGTTACGTCACATTCGATGAGTTTTTGGAAATTTGTCAAAAGGTAAGGAAGGGGAAAAAATGCTTTTATTTTCTTCTTTGTAACGATCCTCGGTCTTCTTTGTAAAAGTCTATGTCTCTCAGTTTTTATCCTTTTATTTGTTTTTTTAAATTTTAAGCGAAAGAAGAGGAGTTAGAAGCGAGACTATTTTTCACCCGTTAAATCTAATTTTGCGGTTTTTTGTTCTCTTTCCTCCCCAACGGTAAACATGGAAGCTTTTTTCCGTAACATAAATTTAATCTTTTCTTTTAAAGAAAAAAATACTTTATTTTTAAGGACTATCCTTTAAGTCATTCCTTGACATTATCACCATTTCAAGAGTAGCTTTAAAGCTGAGTGATGTTCAGAGATGTGTTGTTTTTATGTACGTACCATGAAACTGTAGTTATTATTTAAGAGCTTATCTTCAATTGGAGACGGGGTTTTTTTAGTAATTTAATGATCATCAATTAATTTTAATGATTCGAAAATGGTTAATATATGTTACTTTAATATTCACAATTAATTGGACGCTTTATGCCATTACTCCATATTTATTTTTCTCGGCTAGGAATATTAAAGCACTTGCATTTAACGATTCAAGCATCTTGATAAAATCTGCTGAATTTACTAAAGTTTCCATGCAATTTATTTTTATGAGAATTAATTAAATCAAATACAGTTAATCCAGTCTAAAGCGATTGTGCATAATTCCAAATGATTTAGGTCTTCTGTGGAGGTAGTTGTCTCTTATAGAGGCGATGTTCAACACTTTTATTTTTGTTTGTTGTTTATAGAAATTCTGGTTATTTTAAGAAGTAATCAGTCATCTTAGAGATGTGGTCCCTACCGGATGGCGTACAGTATTTATTTTACTCATAACTTTATTTTACTACATACTTAGCTATCAGCTAAAGCATACACGACGTTTATTTCTATGAGTCACGATTAAGTTGCATTGGCATGTTAAAATCGGCTCCGGTTGTGATTGACCAAACATCCTTCCACGATCGACTGTTGGACCAAAAATCCTTTCACGATTTACTTGTTGGACATTCCTGTTTTACATAATAACCGTAAAGAGTGAGAAGCCTTTTTCTAAACATAGGAAATTTTTTTCGATAATCCTATGCTAAAATTTGTCAACGTCTGCTTTAAAATGTTTCACTAAAAATCACTCTTCAAACTATATAGTCCAGATCCAGTGCTAAGTAATATTCTTCTCGTCTCATTTTCATGGAATGTCATGTTTAATAGAGTTATTATGACGATGAGAACGTGGAACAGGCGATAATTTTGAGAATCAGTATCCAAGATAGCATATCTTACGGCATAGGATCTAAACTTTTGCCTTATGCTTCATGATCATCAGTGTTTTGTCTACTATAAATATGAATATGGCAATATCAAAGAACAAACACATTGCACAATGTATTAATGTCCACATAAATTATTCTTTGGAAGTAATAAGCATCATAAATTTACTTTCTAGACGCCTTTTATTCATTAATTTCTGTTACTGTTTGATTAAATATAAATGGTACACTTTGCAGTTTTTATCTTTAAAAAAAAGCATTGCTTATACGGTAAATCACGGATACGAGTTTTAAAGTAAGTAAGCTTTTTCAAACGATGGCCATAATTATTTCATAATTAAAACTGATAACCGAATAAAATCATAAAACCGAATAAACTAACCGTATCAAATGAACTTGTTTCTTTTATACCTTCCTCAACTTACTTATTCCACAACTGAATTTAAATTGGTAGCAAGTTGTAACATGCTATGATAACATCATATTTTCTTCTCAAAACCACTACTGTGCAATGTGTATGCTTTCCTCTGAAATAAAATACATGTGTTTAATCATAGTTATAAACTAACCTTCATCTCGTTTAATAAATTTTGTTTCTTTTTCTTTTTCTTACCAGCAATCTACGGAGTGAAGATAGAGTTTAAACTTCATCTAACTAATGTTTTATAGCATATTTTAAATTTATTTATTAGATAATTACACATAGATAAAATTGTGATGAGATTTTATAGTTATCAATATGTAATTTAGTCTATGCTTCTTAACTGAATTTATCGATAATACATTAATTCATTCATCTATTTTAATATGAAAGCATTCCTAATTTAAAACTGCAAGTTAGCTGTGATCTCTTCTGAAAATATTTTTAAAAAAGCACTCGGTTGTCAGATCACATAACGAACTATATATGAAACGCGTTGTTAAGTATCGATTTCTAATTATATTGCAATTATACTCAATCAGTATGGTCCAGGCCTATTTTTGCCAACGTCACCGCAGTGTTAGGGTTCATTTTAACCTGCTGTTTGCGCATTTATCAAAAACTTCATCTCCAGTTTATTTCCGCATCACTTGGACGCTCTCCAAGAATACACACTTTCTCACTATCTGCGCAATTTTAGATGCTTTTTTAAGAATCTTCTCTTTTCGTGACTCAATTAAATTCGAAAGAAAAGGGCAATTAAGCACAACTCTAATGTGTGCTTATTAAATCCGCATTTAAATGAACTGATCTTATTCGTAAACTGTTAAACGTGGGAAAAAAGGAGCATAAGGTTTTTTTTTGGGAGGGGGAATGTCTTTTTTCCGTTTTTGTTATTAAAAACAACTATACAGTTCTTAAGAAAAGGTTCAGGTTTCTTATACTGTGCAAAATTAAAAATAGTTCACAGTTCTCCGTAAGTGTTAGTTTATTTTTGTAAATTAAAGATCATGCACATTTTTATCAATATTGCACATTAATTACTTATTGCACCAAAAATTATTATTTTATTTCAATTTCCAAATCATTAATATTCGTGGCACCAATCATCTCAAAATCAAGTGTATTGCCGTATTATTAGTCGTAGTAACGTGTGGCAGAGTAGATAATGCAATTAGTCACAAAAGTCCCAATCTAAAGTTTACGTGTTCCCCATTTTTAATGTAAAAAACAATTAGCTTCTATTGAAGTTTAATTTTATTGAATTAAAAACGGTAATGAAAACTGGAAGCTCCTCTACAGTATATGCCAATGACCTTTCGCAGCTTCTGGTTCTCATGATTCAACAACGGCAGGCCATGGAGTACAGAATTTGCTGTCAATAACGGCAGTGTAATTGATGTTACGTTTGATAAAGCTACATTTATTTTATTTTTCTAATAGATAAGAATATAACATTTTTAATGTTGCCATCGCCATATTTGATAAGTACAAATGCAATTATAACTAGTTTCATGAATGTTGCAACGATTCTGAAGAATATATTCAGGCTTTTTGTGTAAATTTGCTGAGTCATTAAGTTTGTCGAAGCAGAAACAGCAAAATATTTTAAATGCCGTCATCGGTATTGCTAATCAGATGTTCTTCCAATTACACCACAAAGGCACTCGATAAGGAGGGGAAAATTACCTTACAAACTTATGTGCTTATTTTACTTTTGTATGGTTAATTTTTTCTATTCAAATGAAATTCAAAATAAACTGTGCAAATTGAAATAGAAATTTCCTTGCTTGTAATTCAAGCAGGCTGAATTGATATTACTTCTTTGAAATCACTCTTTAACGCCATTCTTGGCAATATATTGTTTCTGAAACTCATTACATCAATATTTCATGGAACACAGCTTCAGATATCAATATATATTTGATTTATATATTGCAGAATGTAAAACAAAAAGAGTAATTCAAATCTAAAGAGTAATTCAAAACTAGCTTTTATATCTGGGATCACAGAAAATTTTTAATATAATTATTTAGAAAATTTTAAGTACTGTTAACTGAAACTGTTACTAATCAAATGTTTCTCGACGTAAATTGCATAAATTTTTCGAAGAATGCTAATTTAATTAATTAAATTGCCACTTTTTTTCAAACACATATCTCAGATAAAATTGCGCTGCGTCGATATTTCAGGCACCTGGGATCTCAGATTTCAAACGAAAGACTTTGCGGATGCGAGTTTTTAATTAAAATCCAACTTAGTAAATTCGAAAAATGAACACGATAATTACTAAGTATGTTAATTTGCTTTGCTGCCAATTTAACCGTGTCTCTATGTCAAATGTTTCAATGTGCCTTCTGTTCTTTTGAGAGTAATTTTTAATCTAATTTACGCTTTAAGTAATGTTTCAGTGTGCCTTCTGCTCGTTTGAGAATAATTTTTAATCTCGTTTACACTTTAAGAATGTTAAATATTGTAAAAAAAACAATTCCTCTTGGGAGTATTTAATACATGAATGTTTTGCATAATTAATGCACTTAAGTAATTACAAGATGAACTATATATGAAACAAACTTTTGATTCATTTAGTGGTAGGGATTAAACTGTAATTGAGTAACTCGGAATTCATCTAAAAGAGTATCAATTACAGTGTAAATGAGGAATAGCTTTTCTTAAATTCCTATGTTTCTCATGTAGGCTTCACCGAGTTATTCAATTATTGACTCAGCTAAGCATCTGAATAAGAACACAGATGATAGAGCTAAGCAATTTCATTTATTGAAAATATCATTTATCTTTAAAAATATATAGCAAGCAAACCAAATCCCTGTGATTTGCTGTTAAATTAAGTGTAAAAAACAGTTTATACATACCAAGTTGAATCAAAACTTGAAAGATGTAAAATTCCCTTTTGCTATCTTAGTTTAAACTCGCAGTAATTGCATTTTAATTTAAACGACATACATTTCAATAATTGATAAAAACATTTCTAATCTCTGAACTTTTTAACTTCCAGCAGTAATAACTACTCTTCTGAACGACAATATATATTTCATCTGGTCGGATATAACTTTGTCATCAAGTTGACTGACAAAGAACTACATTAAAATTCATGTCAAGTTAATAAATTAACAATATGGAGTTTTTCTAAGAGTTTTTTAATTACCTTATAAGGTATTTCTCCCGCTTACTTACCATGCATTCGTAGTCTAGTGGCCAGAACGCTCGACGCGTATTCGAGAGGTCCGTAGATCGAGTCCCGGCGATGGTATTGCTCATTTTTCACA